GCCCTCTTTTGCATGTGACTAACCTGTTTGTCCACCATGTGGAGGCAGTGATTATAAGGCTGAGCTCATCTGAAACTCATCAGACTAGAGATGGGACAAATGGCTCTTTGAAGGAATCCAGATCTTGACATATCACCTGAGTTTCTCATCATTTTTCATCTCTGATTGTCAACTTTAGTTAAAAAGTTTGGCCTGAGAGGTGACCTCTGTTACATTCCTTCAAAGCACGCTAGCCCACGATGAAACTCGCATACCTTGAAGGAATGTGTTTTGCTTGTCACCTTCATACCAAAGTTAACAATCTTTTATGATCCATTTGCATTCACAGTATGAGATTCTCATCTATATTCACACCGTGTTTTACTTCAATGTCTGTCCAACGCACTGAGAGACATCCATTTTTGTGTTCGCTAAGGTAAGTTGGCGGTGGCAGCCATCTTGARTCTGATTGACTTCAACAGGTAATTTTGTAGATGTCCTCCCAGTCCCAAAAATAGGTTAAGAAACAAAACAATTGAAGTAATATATTCATCCACAGAAAAGAAGTTCGGTTGTTTTGGTTTTTAACTTTTTGTTTGGGATTCACCATGTCCTGGWTTACTGAGAATCTTTACCAGTATATTGTCCATTATTTCCTGAATGTCTTATTAAAATTTGTTCACTGATTCAAGGAATATTTTTATCAACAGACAGACAGCTACAGCATACATGTCAAACCCATGAGATATTTAACTGTATTCTGGCTATAATTTCTTTAAAAATAGTGTAGTGGGGTGAAGAGTATTCCCTTACTCTGAGTCATGAAATACATTAGAGTTTCTAAGAAAACAGCCAGATTTTCTCTTTACATTTGTATACACGCAAAATCGGGAAAAATCCTTGTAATTTATGGACCTGCACAACTTGACATGTATGTTACATGATCAGGCCGGCATAAGTCACTGTTACAGAGGTGTGGTATTATAAATCAGAATCAATACTAAATTTCAGACTGATACTTGAACAAATATAACCTTGAGGCTATGAAGAAAGATCCCCCAGACTTCAGGTCTCTGCTGGGCTTTACCCTTCCATGACATATTTCCACAAAGCTATTGTGGTTCAGGAGTTGGTGTACTTTTAGTACACATAATAAACTAGGCAGACACCCGAAGAAATGACTGTGGCACTTAGAAACCAGAGAAAAGTATATTATAGGTATGTAGACACTCATAAAAATTCCAGGGTGTAGCTGCATCAGTGTTAAAGGTAGCTCCTTATTCTGAGCTCTTCATATAAGGTGACATTGTATATATCCTGTCATAGACAGTGCTGGGTGTGTGTGTAAAATAAAACATACAGTATGTTGCAAAGGTTTTTTTTTTTAAGTATGCTTAATTTAAAGAGATTATTGCAGGTCTTAAATACTGAGCACAAACAATAAGAAAACAGCTGCAGGAGAGCAGCCTGCAGAGGTTTCTCTCGGTGCAGCTCCCCAATCACAAAAACAGAAGAGCTGAGGAAAAGTAGAGTTATTTTTTTAAAGAGAAGCTCCAAAAGCCTTACTCAGCATGAGCTGGAGAGCTGCAGCGTGCAGCAGGAGATTAAACTGTCTGTCACGACTGCCAGTCACTGGCTGCCAGGCAGACGTCAGAGCCTTTCCACAAGCTTTTTAATCGTATTTAATCTTCTTAATGAAGAAATCATCTCCAAACTGACCATCAGTATTTCTAGAGAGATGCTGATGCTTTTTAATGAAGGTCATTGTAGTTCTGAAGGCATTTTGTAGCAGCTAGTCGCAGTGCACTTCTGAAGCGTTTTCTTCAGTTTCAAGCTGTGAAAAGAAATGTTTTATTCTTYTTTTTTAATGGCAATGATCATCAATTCTATATACACCAAGTTATTCTGCAAAAGGCTGTTACTATGGGGATGTATGAAAATCTGGATAATTGCTACAGTTATTTTAATTATTTGCTCAAAACATTGGAAGAGTTGCAATTTTTAGCATATACTTGTAATTTAGTTGGATATAATCACTCAGTATTTTGGAGAAAAGGGACAAGTCGCCAAACAGGAATGAACTGGGACAAAGGCCAAATTAGATGGTTGTCTTTTTATTAGCTCTACAAATATTATTTYAAACAAATTTACACTGCTTTGCGTTATACAGTTAATGCAAAAGTAATATTGTAAAATATTGAAGTACTACTGCTGCTGCCAAGTTCTGTGCTTGAAAATAAGTGTAAAAATTGTGTAATACCCATTTGTTGTAAAATTCACCAACAGTGTAAAAATAAAATTTCACTATGATTTTTCCAATAAAGTTTTTATTAGCTTACTTGGCACATGACATCACTACATCTTACATTTACAGAAAAAAAAATTGAGATTGGAGAAATAGGCTATGAGAATACTCATATCACAATAGAACACAAGAGATGGGATGTATATTTTGCAGCATCTGTTAGAAGGAAAGATTTTAAGACCTGAAGTGTTCATATCAAAATTAGCTGTCAATGACCATAAGCAGAAAAGGTGATGATAATATAAATAAATATCAACTGTCAGCTTGTTGTTTGCCAGGTAGTGTAATGTATGACCAAAAAGATTTTTTAAGAGTAGAGTTGTTTTAAAATAGCAGCAATACTACTTTGGTTTTATCACCACTCAGACTYATCAATTCAGTCAGAATTAAACTCTGTTTTTTTTTTTTCAAACTGATGTTATTCAGTGAGATATCTACAACAGGTAAGATACTGATTGCCTAACCTGAACCCCTCCTGTAACATGTAAGCCATTGCTTCACCAAATAAAACACTGTGAAAGAGTTACAATAAATCTTAATGTATTGTGACTGCAGCCGTCTTAAAACGAGCCTACTAACAATGTTTTGAGTTTGTGGTGGGCTGTCCATCATTGTTTATCATTTTTACAACCTTGTGCTGTAAGCTTCTGTTTATCTCTGAAAGAAACAATAAAAGTGCACGCTAGTTTGGCTTTTGTTACAAACCCTTTTTGCTCCATCAGCCACTTCTTTGAGTGCTGCAGTCTGAACATATCTGTACTATGTGTTTTTGCTGTGTGTGTGTGTGTGTGTGTGTGTGTGTGTGTGTGTGTGTGTGTGTGTGTGTGTGTGTGTGTGTGTG